GTCCCATATCAGGGTCCCTGTGGGGAGCCTGCTTCTCCCTCTGCCTATACGTCTCTCTCTGAGTGTCTCTCATGAATAAAAAAATAAAAAAACTTTAAAAAAACCTGATAAACCTCTAGTCAGATTTATCAAAAAGAAGACAGGACCCAAATGAATAAAATAACAAATGAGAAAGGAGAAAGAACACCTAACACCACAGAGATACAAACTATTATAAAAGAATATTATCAAAATCCATATGCCAACTAACTGGAAAAGATGAAAGAAATAGATAAATTCCTAGAAACATATAAACTACCAAAACTAAAGAAATAGTAAACAGGAAGAAATAGAAAACTTGAACAGACTGATAATTAGCAAACAATTCAGTAATCACAAAACTCCCTAGAAACAAAAGGGCAACACAAGATGGCTTTACTGGCAAATTCTACCAAACATTTAAAGAAGAGTTAATACGTATTCTTCTTCTCAAACTAATTAAAAAAAAATAGAAAAGTAAGGAAAAGATTTCTTTCTATGAGGCCAGCGTTGCTCTAATACCAAAACCAATGGAGACATCACTAAACAAAAAAACTACAGGCCAATATCCCTGATGAACATGAATGCAAACATTCTCAATAAAATATTAGCAGACTGAATCCAACAAAGCATTTAAAAAATCATTCACCATGATCAAGTGGGATTTGTTCCTGGGGTACAAGGGTGGCTCAATACTTGCAAATCGTAATATACCACATCAATAAAAGAAAGGACAATAACCACATGATTATTTTATGGATGCATCAAAAGCATTTTCTAAAATACAACATCCATTCATGATAAAAGCACTCAACAATGTAGGTTTAGAGGGAATATATCTCAACATACTAACGACCATCTATGAAAAACTCACAGCTAACATCATACTCAGTGGAGAAAAACTGAGAGCTTTTCCTCTACAATCAGGAAGAATACAGGGATGTGTACTCTCACCACTGTTACTTAACAGTACTGGAAGTCCCAGCACAGCAATCAGACATCAGAAAGAAATTTTAAAAAACATCCAAATCAGCAAAGAAGAAGTCAAACATTCAGTATTTGCATTAGATATGATACTCCATCCTGAAAACCCAAGAGTCCAACAATAAACTGGTAGAATTGATACAAGAATTCCGTAAAGTCACATGGTACCAAATCAACGTACAGAAATCTGTTTCATTTCTCTACAGCAATAATGAAGCAGCAGAGAGAGAAAATAAGGAATCAATCCCATTTACAATTACACCCAAAATAGTAAGATACCCAGGATTAAACCTAACCAAGAGGTGAAACACCTGTACTCTGAAAACTAGAAAACACTGATGAAAGAAACTGAAGATGACATAAAGAAATGGAAAGACATTCTATGTTCATGGATCAGAAGAACAAATATGTTAAAATGTCTATATTACCCAAACACATCTATACATTTAATGAAATCCCTATCAAAATACCACTAGCATTTTTCACAGAGCTAGAAAAAAACAATCCTAAAATTTGTATGGAATCACAAAAGACCTGAAACAGTGAAAGCAATTTTGAAGAAGAAAAAACTGGAGGTATCACTATTCCAAACTTGAAGTTATATTACAAAGCTGTACTAATCAAAATAGTATTGTACTGGCACAAAAGTAGACACATAGAACTATAAAACAGAAAACCCAGAAATATACCCACAACTATATGGTCAGCTAATTTTCAACAAAGCAGGGAAGAATATCCGTTAGATAAAAAACAGTCTCTTTAACAAAGGGTGTTTGGAAAACGGAACAACAACATGCAAAAGAATGAAATTGGACCATACTTGCTTACATTACACCAAAAGATAAATTCAAAATGCATTAAAGATCTAAATGTAAGGGGCAGTCTGGGTGGCTCAGCGGCTTAGCGCTGCCTTCAGCCCAGGGCGTGATCCTGGAGACCCGGGATCAAGTCCCACATCGGGCTACCTGCATGGAGCCTGCTTCTCCCTCTGCCTGTGTCTCTGCCTCTCTCTCTCTCTCTGTCTTTCATAAATAAATAAATAAAATATTTAAGAAAAGACCTAAATGTAGGACCTGAAACCACAAAAATCCTACAAGAGAACATAGGCAGTAACTTTTTTAACATTGTCTGTAGCAACTTCTTTCTAGATATATCTCCTGAGGGAAGGGAAGACAAAGCAAAAATAAACTATTGGGACTTATAAAAATAAAAAGTTTCCACACAGCGAAGAAAACAATCAACAAAACTAAAAGGCAACCTACAGAATGGTAGAAGACATTTGTGATGGCATGTGTGAATAAAGGGTTGGCATCCCAAATATATAAAGAACTTATGTAGCACCCAAAAAATGAATAATCCAATTAAAAATGGGCAGAAGACATAGATTTTTTTTCCAAAAAAAAGACATCCAGATGGCCAACAGACACATGAAAAGATGTTCAACACCACTTATTATAAGGAAAATGCAAGTCAAAACTACAGTGAGCTATCACCTCACGCCTGTCAGAATGGCTAAAATCAACAACACAAGAAATAACAGGTGTTTGTGAAGATGTAGAGAAAGGCTAATCCTCTTGTGCTATTGATGGGAATGCAAACTGGTATAGGCACTCTGGAAAATATTAGCACATCTTCAAAAAGTTAAAAATAGAAATACCCTAAGATCTAGCAATTACACTAGTAGTTGTTTACTAAAATAATACAAAAATACTAAGTGAGAGACATACACCCCAATGCTTTTAGCAGCATCATCCATAATAGCTAAATTATGGACACAGCCCACGTGTCCATCAACTGACGAATGAATAAAGATGTGGTGTGTGTGTGTGTGTGTGTGTGTATGTATATATATATATATACACACAATAATCTGTGTATATGTGTATATATGCATATACGTATGTGCATATACGTATATACACAATGGAATATTATTCAGCTATAAAAAATGAAATCTTGCCATTTGCAATGACATGGATGGAGCTAGAGAGTATCATGCAAGGGGAAATGAGTCCATCAGAAATTGACGCCTACTGTATGGTTTCACTCGTATGTGGAATTTAAGAAACAAAACAGAAGAGCAAAGGAAATAAAGAGAGAGAGACAGAGAGGCAAACTACAAAACAGACTCTTAACTAGAGAGAACAAACTTATGGTTACCAGAATGGAGTTGGGAGGGTGGACCGGTTAAATAGGTGATGGAGATTAAGGAGTGTACTGGTTGTGACGAACATCTGGTGTTGTATGGAGGTGCCGAATCACTATATCCGTTCACCTGAAACTAATATTACACTATATGTTAACTAACTGAAATGTAAATAAAAACTTTAAAAAATGTACAACTTAAATTTACACAATGTTGTATGTAAAATATATCTCTTGTAAAAATATCAAAAAATGGTAACTATGTGATAATAGTGCATCAATTAGCTTGATTGTCATAATTGTTTCCCAATGTATATACACCTACCAAATGATCACATTATACACCTTAAATATATACAATTTTTATCTGTCAATTATACCACAATAAACATCGGGAAAAATAATATTTAAATATAGATGTCTGAACCATAGGACTCAAATAATTAATTGGGCTATTAAAATAAATATTGCAACTGAAAGGAGTCTGTGTTTCACTACATCATTAATTTAGTAATAACCATGAAGTTAATCTGAAAAAAACAAGAAAGCTCTTATCACTTCAGGAAATTACTGCATATATAACCATAAATAAAGAATAGAGCACAACCCTGTTGAAATCCTTGTTCCCAATACAGAATGTAAATAAATAAATAAATAAATAAAAATAAAATATGGGTCTCAGCAAAAGCACAAATTTCTGCATGTCATAGACCTTTATAAATCATTAAACAGTGAGTTTTAAATCCATAAATGTCAAAATCTTACTATACTTCCATTATTATACTTGTGTCATTGAACATCTAACCCCTGATGAGGACATGAGCTTCATGGGGATAGGCCTCTTGTTTCTTCATCCTTTTTATACCAAAGTTGACCTACACAAAGCAACCATCCCAAAAACATTTGTTGAATTAAATTGCTTCCTAATTGGTCTGCTTCCAGGCCATCCTCCTCTCCCAAATCCTGCCAGTTCTTTTACAAAAATACATCTCTGCTAATGTCATTCCATTGTCCCAAACCTTTAATGGCTGTTCATAGTAATCTGTTTTAAAGGATTATGTCCACATACCCTGGCAGGGCATTTAAGGACCTTCACACTGTTCTCTCAGTCTATATATTCCCAGCCTCTCCTTTTCACACACCCTCTCAAGCCATATTAGTTGTTCCTTGAACGCTTTTGGATTTTTGTGACTCTATGCCTTTCCAAACGCTGTTTCCTCTGAATGATCCTTTCCCTGTAGTCTGCCTAGCAAACATTTACTATTAAATAAATCTCAGTTTAAATTTTACTACCTTTGTTATCTGTCCATGACTTCTCACAGAATTCACGTCCCCTTCATTTGTCTTTCTCAGCCAATAGGTTTATTCTGAAAGTGAACGAAGCTAAACTTGGGGTAAGGGAAGAGAGAAGGAAGGAGGAAACGCCTGTGAATGAACTTACCTAAGCAGTGATTGCAGCACTATGCGTTAAAGCATATTTTTCAAGCAGCAGTGGGAGGATAGGGTTGGGTAACCTTTTAGTCTTAAGAGGCTCGGGCTGTCATCTTTCGCACAGCGTGTTCGTGTGCTCTCGTGTTTATGTTGAGTGGGGAAACAGAGAGACAAAAAACAGAAAGAGAGATCAGAAAAGAGATGGGGGAAACGCAGTGCGGTAAAAGCACAATAGGCGGACCCAAATTTCTTCTGCTTCACCGTTTGCACGGGTTCAGCTCTGCATCTAGGGCTGTAGCATGGAGGTGGAAGGAGAGGAAAGGGGAGGGACTGCACTCCCTCTGAGTGTGCCCAGCCTCGGCTGCCGGGCGGATCACCTTCCGCTCCAACTGGGCCAGTTCCTCCCCGCCATGATTCATGCTTACTGTGCCGGGCCGAGCTCACTCTGCCCTGCAGCCTTACAGGTGGTTTTGGCTTGGTGAGACAGTTCCCGCCAGGCTAGGCAGTGGAGCGCCGCACAGCGCGCCTTCTGGCCTCCCAGCTGCCTGCCAGGCAGTTCCGACCCAGCGCCAGCAGGCCTGCTCGGTCGATCTTCGATCCAAAGATGCGGCGGGGCTGGAAGATGTCTCTGGCCGGGGGGCTGCGGTGCTGCCGCCGACTACTTTCCTGGGTGCCAGTGCTCGTTATTGTCCTCGTTGTGCTTTGGTCCTACTATGCCTACGTCTTTGAACTCTGCCTGGGTAAGTGGAGCTGGTCACCTAAGATGGGGATATTATGCTCCAGCGTAATTGTCTGTCCTACCCTTCACATTGGTGTCCCTCTCCCCCGCGTTTTTAGTCCTCACACTGCAGGGTTTGTTTTGTTTTCTTTCTTTGTTGGTTTGCTTGTGGGGAGGGGGTTGTTCGTTTGTTCTTAGCTCTCAGGCGACCTCCGCATCTCCAACCTCTGTCTTCTCACATATTTCTTCACAATCTTCCAGTGAGGGTCCCACAGTGTCGCCATCACTTCCCACTGAGAGTTTTTTACATTATTCCCTGGCCTTATCCACAAGAATCTCCTGGCTCTTTCCACCAGAACCCCCTTTTCTCATACAGGACAAGCTCTTGTGCCTGGTGTTCTCGTTCTGGGGGCTCCCACCCTACAGAATTGAGGAAACAACACACCCTGTATCGCTAAACTGCTTACACTGTGAATCCCATCGATGCATCCAACTAGGAGCCCCACATTTTTGCATTCCCTCCTACTAAAGAATCCCAAAATATGTCCTGTACTGTCTTACTGGTTCTCATTTTTCCAATACTGGAATTCATCCTTTTTCCATGATCCTCTCAACTGGCTGAAGTGCTTCATATCTTCTCCAACTTAGGATCCCACGGTATGTCTTGCTTTACCCCACTGAGTCACCCCTTTTCACAAAGTGAAAATGGGCCCTTTATTCTCTTTCCCTGTGGGCTTTACGATTTTGCCATCTTCTCCAATGGAATGAGAGTCCTACAATACATCTTGTCCTGTCCCCTCACATTACAGACCCTGATTTTATCATACTGGGGTTCCCTTTAGTCTTCTAGTTTCCTGCTTTGAGGATCATTCACTCCTTTCCATTAGGGTCCCCACATTATTTTCTCACATCTCATACTAGGCACCCTGCTTTTATCACAACATGGTCATACTTTGTCCACTGTCTTCTCACATTAGTGTACTCTTTACCCTCCCATAAGAGTTTGCAGAATCTCTCATATCCCTCCAGTACCACTACTTTTCTAATGATACTCCCCTCTTGTTATCTTTTTGAAAACTACTCCCACCTTCTTTCCATCTCTCTATTATTGTTAACCACACATTTTACCATCCTGTTTCTCTAGGTTTCTATTATTAGTATTATTTTATCTTACTTCCCTCTAGGGTTGTCCTTGTCCTCTGTCTTCTCAAACTAGGAAAACACCATCCTTTTCTACTGGGATTTCTAATATTTCCTTCCCAGTCCCATAGGAGCCTCATTTTTTTAAAGATTTTATTTATTTATTCATGAGAGACACAGAGACAGAGAGAGAGAGAGAGGCAGAGACATAGGCAGAGGGAGAAGCAGGCTCCCTGAGGGGATCCCGATGCAGGACTCGATCCCAGGACCCTAGGATCACACCCTGAGCCAAAGGCAGACGCTCAACTGCTGAGCCACCCAGGCGTCCCAGGAACCTCATTTCTTGTCCCATTTCATCACACCACCCCTTCTATAAATCTAGAGTCTCCTCTTATACCCTGTCCTGTCACATTATGGAGCATTCCATCCCCCCCTTATCTGTAAAATGGTTCCCACAATATTTTTTATGCTTCCAAACTCAGAATTCCACAGTATTTCCTGACACAAACTTCAACATCCTATCTTTTATGTTCCTCAATTGTATTACCCCAGTCACCTATCCTTATCACTAATGGTTTTATAGTGTTCTTGTAAATTCACAATGGAGTTTTCATATTATATCCTGTCTCCTCACAACAGATCTTCTGTTTTTATCACAGTGAAAACTCCCCTTGCCTCTGTCCTCTCACATTGAAGAATTTCAAACTCTTCTCAAAGGAGATTCACTAATAGTTATTGTCACTTCAGTATTAGAAATTACACTTCTTTTATTTATTCGTGAGACACACACACACACAGAGAGAGAGAGAGAGAGAGGCAGAGACATAGGTAGAGGGAGAAGCAAGCTCCATGCAGGGAGCCTGTTGTGGGACTCGATCCTGGGACTTCAGGATCACACCCTGAGCCGAAGGCAGATGCTTAACTGCTGAGCCACCCAGGCGTCCTGAGAAATTCTACTTCTAGAACCTTTTAAACTTTTGTCCTGCAATGATCCCCATTAATTCAGTATAAAGTTCCAGCATATTTCCAGTCCCCTTACATTAGGACTCTTATTTGTCCCATTGGTGATCCACGCACTCCCAAGTCCTTCCACGATAACTTTATTTCTTTATACTGGGTTCTTACCATCTTAAAAATTACAGTTCAGGTGCCGTTTTCTCCAACCCCAGGAGCTGACCCTTCTTACTACTTAGGAAGTTACTACTAAGGAAGTTCTTACAACTTCCTTCCTTATATATTTGACACAGCAATAGTTTATTCCAATTAGGTGGACATTAAGTAGGGAGCCAGGAGATGGCTTTGTTTTCCAATATAGAAATTTCTTCTAATTAACTATGCATGAGAGTTTGAATTATCCACGTCTCCTTAGATTTATTATGGAAAATGTAGAGAGATGTTATAAATAAATTCATTAGTTGCCTTTATAGATGCAAATTTAGGCTGTATTTCTTTTTATCTCAACCTTTATTTCAACCTTTACCTCAACAATATACCTCAGCTTTATCGATGAATATTATGTGGACTATGCAATGATTAGAAAATTTTATTATTCTCAGACTTCACCACTTTTCCCTTTTGAATGACTGATTAAAGGATTAAAAGGTCACCTCCATTATTATACTATGGATTTTGCTTCTTAGGATCAATGCCATCTTGTAAACACTACTAAGCATATTTTACAATTTTGCAGTACTGACTTATGTGAGCTTTGTCAAGCATTCAATTGAAAACTTAATAATGATAATGCCTAACACTTACATAGTGCTTAATTTGTTCTAGGCCATGTTCTAAGTACTGCAGATATATTAGTTCTCCCTATATTAAATCACTTAATCCTCACAATAACCATATAAAATAGGTACCCATTTTACAGATGTGCAAACTGAGGGATGGATCAAGTTAGAATTAGTGAAAATAATCAAAGGAAGCTTAGAGGTTTTTTTTTTTAATTTTCAGAGCACTTGCTATATGCCAGGCACTGTTTTAAGTGGCACACACACATATACACCCACATAAACATAATCCTCATAACAACCTTATAAGGTACATGTCCATTTTAAAGACAAGAAACAGGCAAAGACAGATGAAGAAGGTTGCCTAGGGTCATAGAGCTAGTAAATGGCCTACCTTGGATGCCAACCTAGGCAGTATGGTTCCATAGTCCATGCTTTAGCCACCACAATGTTGAAACTCTCTGCCTTCTATCAGCCAATAAAGAAGTAAAATCTAGTGAATAACAGGCCAAATGCAGCCTGCAGATGTATTTTATTTGGCTTGCGCAGTGTTTTCATTTTGTATCAGTTGCCATTATTTAAAAGCTGGGAGAGTAAGGTAGCCTTGACTTCCAATTCTGGCTCTGCCTTCATTCTGTCACCTTCGTTTTACAATCCTCTGAAACGTTGCTTTCAGAGGTTAAATCACATTTTCCCAAGTCACTTGTTTAGTAAATATTAGAGAATTGAGCATCGAGGCTGCCTGAAATGAAAACAACACAACCAAATGAACAGATTCAAATTTTAATATGACTCAAAAGGTAATATTAAGGACCTAACTTCTTTCTAGAAATAAACCTGGTATCTTTATATGTAATTTCATGTTAGAACTGAAGCTAAAAATGATATTGTTGTCTTATAATTCTGTCTGATAAAGCTTGAATTCTGCCACTTACTGACTAGGAGATCTGGGGCAAGTTACCTAATCTTTATCAACCAGGGTTGCCTAACATGGTGCCTTGCTTATATGGTTGTTCACTCATACCACAAATACTTGCTTAGCACCTACTATATGCCAGTTAGAACATTGTTGTTGTGAGATAATATAAAGCATATGTATGTCTTTTTTGGAAAAATGTCTATTTATATCTTTTGCCTATTTTTAACTGAATTATTTGTTTTCTGGGTGTTAAGTTTTATAAGTTCTATACATTTTGGGTACTAATCCATTATCAGATAGGTCATTTGCAACTGTCTTTACCCTTTCTGTAGGGTGTCTTTTACATTTGTTGACTTTACTTTGCGGTGCAGAAGCTTTTTATCTTGATAAAGTCCCAATAGTTTGTTTTTACTTTTGTTTCCCTTGCCTTCATAGCTGTGTCTTGCAAGAAGTTGCTATGGCCTAGTTCAAAGAGGTTATTGCCTGTCATCTCTTCTAGGATTTTGATAGAGTCTTATCTCACGCTTAGATCTTTCAACCATTTTGAGTTTATCTCTGTGTATGGTGTAACAGAATGGTCCAGTTTCATTCTTCTGTATGTGGATGTCCAATTTTCTCAACACAATTTGTTGAAGAAACTGTCTTTTTTCCCCAGTGGATATTCTTTCCTGCTTTGTTGAAGATGAGTTGACCATAGAGTTGAGGGTCCATTTCTGGGTTCTCTATTCTGTTCCATTGATCTATGTGTTTTTGTGCTAGTACCATACTGTCTTGAAGATCACAGCTTTGTTTTAGAGCTTGAGGTCAGGCATCGTGATGCATCCAGCTTTAGTTTTCGTTGTCAACATTCCTCTGGCTATTCCAGGTTTTATCTTGTTCCAAACAAATCTTAGGATTATTTGTTCCAACTCTGTGAAGAAAGTCCATGGTATTTTGATAAAGATTGCATTGAATGTGTAAATTACTCTGGGTAGCAAGACATTTTCACAATATTTATTTTTCCAATTCTAGAGGATGGAATGTTTTTCCATCCCTTAGTGTCTTCCTCAATTTCTTTCATAAGTATTCTGTAGGATTTAGAGCACAGATACTTTACCTCTTGGGTTAGGTTTATTTCTAGGTATCTTATGGAATTGGGTCCAATTGTAAAATGGATTGATTCCTTAATTTCTCTTTCTTTGGTCTCATTGTTAGTGTATAGAAATGCCACTGATTTCTGGGCTCTGATTT